TTTAATTTTAATTCTTAAATTGAATTAAAACCATTACTAATTCAAAATTTTATTAATTTTGCTGATGAATTCTTGCGCAAAACTTCATTACAAAATTTTAATTCTTAATTTGAATTTAATTAATTTCACTTCTCTAATATTAAAAAAATTTTGATTAATTTCATTTCTCTAATATTAAAAAAGAACTTAGTTATTAAAGTTTATTTTCTTATAATTGATTAATTTGTGTGCATTGCATAGGTGCTGGTCGCATACATCGTGGTCATTTGATCAGCAGAAATATTAAAATAAGCTTTAATAATTGAGTTTTAATCGATATTTGATTAGCAAAACTAATTAAATTTTTAATTCTTGACGGTTTTAATTCATTCTCACAATTATAATTAATTTTTATTTCAAATTTAAAATTTAAATTTTATGAAAATTCATCAATTTATTAGAATTTTGCATATTAATCTACATAATAAATTCTAGCAATATCAAAAATTTATTTTAATTAATTTTTAATATATATATATAAATATAAAAAAATGTCAAGTCATTTAAAAAAGTAGATATTTTGAACTTAACTGAGTAATTTTTATGCATTGCATGGGTACTGGTCACATACATTGTGGTCATTTGACCAGCATAAATATTAAAATAAACTTTAATAATTAAGTTTTAACCAATATTTGATTAGTAAAACTGATTAAATTTTTAATTTGTCACGTTTTCAATTCATTCTAACAATTAAAAATAATTTTTATTTCAAATATAAATATCAAATTTTAAGAAAATCGTATAATTTTTAAAAGTGTTTGTATATTAAACTGTGAAATAAATCCCGGGTTGATCAAAATTTATTTTAATTAGATATTAAAATGTTAAAAAATATTAGATCGTTAAAAAAAAAAAGATATTTTGAACTTAATTGATTAATTTTTATCCATTGCATGGTACTGGTCATATACATTGTGGTCATTTGGTCAGCACAAATAATTAAATAAACTTTAATAATTGAGTTCTGAATGATATTTCAGTAGCAAAATTAAATAAATTCACTGTTTTAATTCATTCTTACAATTATAATTTGCGACAACTGCTTACTCCTTATAGGTATTGCGATTTTTAATGTTCACGCTGAGAATAGAAATGATGAGCGGAGGGAAGAAATCGTAAGTTCTCTTAGGCAGTGAGCTTTCTGCTGTGGTAGTAAATTCTATTTCTCTTGTCAGTTGGCTACCATCCGTTTACCGAAAGAGACAAAAAAAAGAAAAAATTTTTTAGAAGAAAAAAGGTCTTTGTGGACCAGTTTTGATAAAATTCTTTATCTCTACAAATCGTTCACATGAGATTTACAACATAACTGAAAACATCAGAATGGAAAAAGAAACAAAAGCAGCTTTTTCAAAGTTAATCATTCAGACAAGCAAGAGATGTCTTGTCGAGCCAAAACAACAAAAAGTGAGGAGAAGCCTAAAATAAGCTCCAACAAAGCTGGATTCATCGATTTAGCACATCATATCCTATCTTTCGACAGATCCACGTCTTGAGTCCTAAAAATTTTGAAGTGAACTTGTCTAAATTACAGGAAGCAAAGAGCAAACATATCCAACAGCGTAAAGCGTTAGGTCGCAAAAGTAATATATGTGATGAAACGATCCGGAAAATTTGCACAAAGCTTGGAACATCCGAGAATAAAAGAAAGAAACGAAATTTAAAGTCTACGATGCTCTGAATGATGGATGTATTCGTGGAAATTTTTTCGTTGAACAGGTATCGGGAGATTGGCACTTACGAGATTAATTTTTGAATAGAAATAAAAAAATAAATTGAAAATCTCATTCTGATTACAAATCCTTCAGAACGCTTAATTCTTTTCACCGCTATCAATGTGATTAACATGTTTTTTTCTTTCAATAAGTATTTTTTTCAAATAAGAGCAATCAAATAAGTATTACCTGCTCAGAACTTTATCTAATTAATTCCTTCAATTAATTTTCATAATGCGACAGAAAGATATGGGAAATCTAAGCTGTGAAATATTTATTTCTTTGGGAATTATTTTCTTGCCAAATCATCTTCTTGACCTGCCAACTCGGTAACTGACCAGTCATCCCACAATCATCAAGCGAATCATCCCACAATTCATAATGCTTAATAATGCGTACTATATGATGTTAAATTTAAGCTAAAATTAGTAAATATGCAAATTTCAGCATCAGTTCGTCTTGGCATGGGCGACTTCATTTTCTATAGTTTGCTGGTAGATAAAGCCTCCGCGACACGTAGTAAATGTGCGTTGCTGACTCAATGGCTGGCTGGCTGGCTGGCATACTCACCCTGGCAGTACTGTCTAGCTACGATGAACCCACTACAGCACTGTCTGTTCCGATCGATTACCATCGCTGTACTGCTACATACCGGCATTTATCTGTTCGTCGAACCATTCCATAATCGCATAGTGATGAGCACAAAATTATTTACCTCTAGACAAAACAGAACTATCTCCACCATATGACTTCTCCAGTTGCAGGCAAGTTCATCAGTTCATAAATTTGATACATGCCAAAGATCATAAGGGATCATCTTAGTGACAGCATATTTTGCATTAAAAAACAATACAATGGAATCAACGCTACATTATGAAAGAAATAACGAATAAATAAAAGAAAGTGAGAATGCAATCAACAATGCCAAATTTAAGAATAAACTTTAAAATACGAAGATGAAACGAAGGAGTCAAAAAGTAAGCAATATAAACTAATTAAAAATGCAATACATTCTAGGTATAAATAAATGAAGCGACAAATACTATTATTATTATTATTATTAAAAATCCAACACTTTAAAAGTCAAAGAGTAAAACAGTTGAATTAAATCCTTGCTGAACACCCCGATGCTGAATTCATCAAAGTTGAAGTGATACAGCCAAACATTACGCCTAAATAATTAAGTTGCAATTCAAAGCAACATAACAGCCAAAAAAATCCACTATTACTAGAAAGTTCAATCTGTATTAATATTAGATTTAAAACTGAATGTTTCGTAAAATGTGAACCGAGGAAAGTTAGGCAATGAATCATTAAATTTCATCTTATAAATGTTTCGTATAATATCAATTGATTCAGATAATGAAACTTAACTATTACATACTTCTCTCAAAACTTTACTTCGCCGAAATAACTATTACAAGTACCGATTATCCTCCAACTTGAAATTACTATTTTACATGTTTTTTGAAAAAAGCTTTCAGAAAAAAAATCCGAAAAGATTATGCTTCAAAGTGCTAAGGAAAACAAAGAACAAATAATTTAACCTATTGTGAAAAGTTTTCTAGAAAATTCCAAGAGAAGGAATATCGATTGCCAAAAACCAATCGATTGGTAACCATAACTGCATGAGATCCAAGCAAAAAAAAAAAAAAATAAATAAATAAATAAATAAAAACAAAAAGACACAAAAAAGAAACAAAAGAATGATTGATGATGATGATTTCGATAAGAATAAGACGTTGGTCATGGTCGTTTAATAGAAATACATGTAGAAATAACATTAACATAGTTCACAGTAATATTTTTGTTTCCGAAACTGTACTTTCCTTTGTGTTATTCAGGTAAATGAGATTAAAGCTTGTCTTTATTTTAGTTCGAAGAAGTTTCGGTAGAATTTATACTTTCTAACTTAACTGCTCACGTCCGCTTACGCCGTCAACTCTGCTTTCCGATCAGTCTAATCATAGAGAGGATAGCAGTTTTCATAAAATTTAAAAGAAGGAAATTCGCAAATGGTACGTGAACCGTGAACCATGAAACGTTATGGACGTAGCTAACAAATCATATTTGAAATTTTGAACTAGATATGAAGGGATTTTAACCACGGTAATTGCTATTCCTGCAATAGCTGCAACTGTTTTCAAAGTCCGACAGTCAGGGTTAGAGGCATGATAATGCTAGCAACAGAACTAAATCTGCTAACAATTTCGTCTTATCAGTGCCACTTACTCTGTCTGCAAGTACTGCACATGAGAGTGAAAAATCTATATCTAGTAAAAATACCGTAATGACAGCTTAGTCTTAAACATTTTTTACTTCTGATAAAATAAAAAACCAACCATACTTTTGGATCCTCCCCGACTTCTTTTAATATAACAGTATGACACTCTCTGCACGTCCATAATGTGTTGACTATATCATCTAAACCTTTTAAGTCTATTCTCGCCACCACAGCATTAATCCCTTGTTTGACCAAGGGAAAATCTAGTACTTGGATCTGTGTGCTTGATTAGTATGTACTCGCGTTCAGTCAACATGAAAACATTTTGGTAGACACTAGTAGCTTTTAGATTTGACAAAAAAATCTGTGTTGATGTTTGCTGTACATTTATATTACTAATAGTACTTTTGCTTGCATCTTCAACGCTCTGAATAGCAAAAACCACAAAGGCATTTAATTTTCTCATCACTTTCAACTAGTCCTTTATCTTAGATGCAAAAAGAGGATTATATATTAATGTCCATACCTCATTAAGGACGATAATAGATGGAGTGCCATCAAGAGATATACTAATCCTGTGAAATAATAAGTCAAGACCAACCCCAGAGCAACGGGATCTTTCAGTAAGCTAGCCATTTCAAAGCCAAATGCTCTTGCTTTTGAAAAATCTATCAAATCTTTATTGTTATCAAATACTGCAGCATGAGAGCTATTACCATGCCACATAGATATCACTCCAGCTAGAGTATCAGAACCTGCAAGTCCTAAAAATGGTACTAGGTTTCTGAAGGATCTATCTTCCTTTCATAATTTAAAATTTCCTTCAATTATTTATCATTATTTAACTATTATATGGTTAAATTTCTATTTTGTGTACTGTTATTGCCGCTAATAATAAATACTAATAATAAATATATTAAAGCATAATGAAAATTTATCTAAAAATCCTTGAGTATTTTCAGAACTTAGCTAAAATTTTTTTGACACCTCCTGATTATTTCTGTTGTCAGGAGGTGTCAAAATTGCGCCTCGAAAAGTTGTAGTCTCAAACTGTGGATGGTAATCTATGGCAAAACAGCCAAGAGGGACAAGAATTTTAAAAGAATATTCTAAAATTAAGAATGATATAGAGTCATTTTCAAAGCTAGAAAGTGATTATAACGATGCTATCAGTTTAATGAAATCCACTATTGATGAAAACGATGAAGAGTTTTTCTCTGAAATTGAAAATGAATTACTGAAATCAGAGAAATTAGTTAAGCGTAAAGAAACAAATTTCTTATTTACTGATGGAGCAGATAATACTGAAATCCACTCAGGAGTTGGTGGAACAGAGAGCGATGATTAGACTGAAATGTTGATGTGCATTTGATAGATATTAATATCTATTCGATATTAACCAGGGTTTCTTTTGCCTTTCTCATTTAATTAAAAATTTAACTAATTTTATCATGATGCTTGTCTCCCATTCATTCATGTAGCGTAACAATTCACCAACGACAGATTTCAATCGTTCCTCTCAAAAAAAGAAAAAAAAAAAAATGGGTTGGCTTTTTTGTCGTAATCCACGATAATTAAAACATTATTTAAAAAGGGATGACAATGGAATATGAACAGTGGAAAGAAATATTAAGTGCAATCGATAAGGAAACAATTAAGTAAAGATAATGCAATTGCAAAAATAAAAGAGAATTTAAAAAAAAAATGGATTTAAGTACATATGGAAGGAAACTAATTTTGATGTAAATCACTTATTTGCAGTGAAAAATGGACTATTGCATTTGCTGTTCACAATAATCCAAAAAGTGTGGTGAAAGCTTTATTTGGGTGGAAGGAATTGATATTAATTAATGCAGTGGACAAAGATACATTTGGCTGTTAAGAAGTCATATATTGCTATAGTGAAAAATCCGTTAGAAGGAAATGTCAATGTAGATGATGATGAAGATAAATGCACTCCTTCACATTGTATCAAGGGTGCACAGGCAACGGAGACTCTAATAGAAGCAGGCGCAAATGTTAATGCAGACGATAAAGATAAATGCACTCCCTCACATGTATCACGGGCGTACAGACAGCAGAAACTAATAGAAGCAGGGGTATCGGGCCAGAAATTATGGAAGCGGTACTGTCGATGCTGCGCGAAGCAGAGGCAAAGATTTCAATAGATGTTATTGAAATAGGAGAACGTGACCATAACGATCATAGCCTGCTCTTTTCTCAGAATCAGATAGGACTTCATACGCAGCTGTTATTTCTTTAAATTTCTCCTCTGCTTCTTTATTGCCAGGATTCCTATCTGGATGATACTTTAACGCTAATTTTTTATATGCTTTTTTTATCTCATCAGTACTAGCATTTCTATCTACCCCCAGCGGCTTATAGTCTTTTTTACTCATATATAACAGTTCAGTATTTAATTTTTAAAGATAGGTATTGCATATATCAATTTCAAGTGTGGCATCTGTTTCCTATCTAGACAAGAACATAGTGCACTAATAATACCGAAAGCAAATTCTTTTCACAACCTTTGTGTTAAACGAGTAAAATTACCATATTTCGTACATCTCAAGTAATTGCATGAAAGGTATTACCAAGCCCAGAACTAACAGGAAAACTAAAGTAAACTTATGAAATAAAATTGGAATTTCAATCAGGTCAGTGAAAAATTTTTGCCAGCACCAATTTTACAAATTCTCTCATTTTATAGCTTGTAAAAGTATAGGGTATAGTACAGCATGATGTTATTAACATGGTAGCAAATAAAAATACAGGTATTAAAGAGAATTTTAATAAATATATGCACAATGGAGTTGAAATTTCGTTTGTGGAAAGAGGTTATTGGGCAATTCACTTAACAAAGCTAACGCATTTTAGCTTGTAGCTAGTTCTTTAGCTACTCTTACGTTACTTGCATCTGTAACATTTGCTGCATTTTCTAGTGTACCTCTTCCTCTAGCCTTTACTTTAGCTATGTTGTCTGTTTTAGCAGCTACACTTTCACATAAAATAACTAGTAGTAATAAGAAAAGGAGAACTGAGAGAGATGAGGTTACTAAAGGAGGGCAAGAACTAGAAAATAATTCTAGAGAAGGAAACTGGGAAAGCCGCAAGCAAACTAATGAAGAAGTTGAAGAATCTATTAAACCAGAAAAGTAGAGAGCTAATTAGTGTAAAACAACAGTTAGATAATACTGTATAAAGAGTTAAGTACAAAAAGCTAGAGAATAAAATAATAGAGTTAAACGACAAAATAGCTGTAATTGTGGGTGCCTCAAACAAGAATACAGTTTTTGAAAAACAATACTTTGAAAAACACAGTAAAAAAAGGACATACATTCAACTTTTTTCTCTAAAAGAAAACAGAATTAATGACGATATCATAATTCCATCAAGTGTACCTAAAGAAATAGACATATTTTTTTTTGAGAATTCTGTCGAATAAATCCTAAAAAGGCTATACAGAGAAAAATACCAGATTTTCGGAGGGATATATATCTGAAAGATTGCAAAAATAATGTAAAATTCCACCTTAATTCAAATAATACTATATTTCTTTCTGTGACATCAGGGAGGATGTCCTAATTAGAGGCAGGTTTGCTAATAATGTAAATAAGCATATTCACAAGCAACTTGAAGTAAAAGTGGACTCTGATTTTGAATGTGTTGAAATAGTTAAATTGAGGAGGTAAGCTCGGCTTTAAAATAAGTTAGAGTCACACCAGGTAAGCAAACGCTTCAGAGCAAAGCATAACGTAGAGTACAAGAAGCCATGTCTGCAAATGTACTACCACAATTCTTATACTGTAATAGGTAAACTCACGTAGATTATTATAACTAGTCAAGCCTAAGCTACTTAATAACCTCTACGGATTATCCATGCTACTCTATTCCTCATGAAGTACTTTCTTTACTTTCTATGAGTATGCCAAGCTCTTCTGCTGCATTTTTGACTTCTAAAGTAAAGTTTTAAAGTTCTTTACAACCTTTTTAATTGTTAGTACACTTATGAAAGTCTTACTTTTTATACATTATTATAAAGATTTTTTAAATTTTTCTTTTTTATTCAATAAAACTTACAATCTGACATATCAGAGTGGTTATTCTTTTTTGCCTATCAAAAAGAGTTTTGTTATTTTTTGTAAGCACGGTGTTTGTCTCTTCCAGTCGTTTGCTTTTTTTTCTTTTTTCATAAATTCTTCTTTATGTTCTTGTATTTTTCTCTCCAATTCTGCTGTAGATTTTTCTGTTCTATCTAGATTATTTACTTGCTCTTGCAACTGTTTGTCTATATCATGCAATCTTTCTTAGTTTTCATTAATCTCGTTGATTGTTACTTTTCCCAATTTGTCTTTCCATTGCAATATTTCAGCTATATAGTCTATTTTACCTTCCAATTTGTACTCTAAGAATTCTTTTTCCTTGCGAAGAACTGCGTTTTCAGTTCCACATTAGACTTTCCTTGAGCCAAATTCAACTGGAAATTGGTTCTAATTTATTGATTCTAAATTTTGTAAGAAAACTATAACAAATTTTAAAATTTTTAAAAAATTCAAAATTTAAATTTGAATTTAAATTTAATTTAAATTCTTAAATTGAACTAAAATCATGATTAATTGAATGTCTTATTAATTTTGCTGATAAATTTATGCGCAAAACTTAATTACAGAGGCTTATTTAAATATTTAAACTATGAAATGACAACACAATATAGGATCAGCACTGGTACAATGCACGTAACATAGTCAATTAGGTTCAAAATAAGCTTTTTTTTTAGCAGTTTTGGCACTAAATTAAAATTAAAATTGATAAATTAGAACCAATTTCCTTGTCTAATGTAAGAAAACTATAACAAATTTTAAAATTTTTAAAAAATTCAAAATTTAAATTTGAATTTAAATTTAATTTAAATTCTTAAATTGAATTAAAATCATGATTAATTGAAAGTTTTATTGATTTTGCTGATAAATTAATGCGCAAAACTAAATAACAAAGGCGTATTTTAATATTGAACTAAAATGATCAATATAGGATCAGCACTGGTACAATGCACGTAACATAGTCAATTAGGTTCAAAATAAGCTTTTTTTTAGCAGTTTTGGAACTAAATTAAAATTAAGATTGATAAATTAGAACCAATTTCCTGGTCTAATGTAAGAAAACTATAACAAATTTTAAAATTTCTAAAAAATTCAAAATTTTAATTTGAAATTAAATTTTATTTTGAACCTTAAATTGAATGAAAACCAACATTAATTGAAAGTTCTATTAATTTCGGTGATCAATTTTTGAGCAAAACTAAATTTCAAAAGCGTATTTTAATATTTAAACTATAAAATGACAACACAATATAGGATCAGCACTGGTACAATGCACGTAACATAGTCAATTAGGTTCAAAATAAGCTTTTTTTTAGCAGTTTTGGAACTAAATTAAAATTAAGATTGATAAATTAGAACCAATTTCCTTGTCTAATGTAAGAAAACTATAACAAATTTTAAAATTTTTAAAAAATTCAAAATTTAAATTTGAATTTAAATTTAATTTAAATTCTTAAATTGAACTAAAATCATGATTAATTGAATGTTTTATTAATTTTGCTGATTAATTTATGCGCAAAACTTAATTACAAAAGCGTAATTTAATATTTAAACTATAAAATGACAACACAATATAGGATCAGCACTGGTACAATGCACGTAACATAGTCAATTAGGTTCAAAATAAGCTTTTTTTAGCAGTTTTGGCTATTAATTAAAATTAAAATTGATAAATTAGAACCAATTTCCTTGTCTAATGTAAGAAAACTATAACAAATTTTAAAAAATTGTCGCGGATTTTAATATCGCGATCTAAAAATATGAGTTGCAAATTGTAGTAAAGATATCTACGTAATTTCCGCAAATAATGCTTATACTTCGGACTCTTTGTTTCCAAATTTATGCTTCTACATATTGAAACAATTTACATGTTCTTTGTTAGCAATCCTTACAATCATGAGGATATCTACATTGTTCTTTGTTAGCTATCATAATCATGCGGTTATCTAATAAGCTCTTTATTAGCAACTGGTGCCCATGCAAGCACCTCCTCTCCTTTGTTTGGATCATTGTCTAACATCAATGTAGATTTATAACCATACTATTGTCAATCATATCAGTTTTTAAAATCATCCAATCCTCCGAATTTTTATTCAATTGTTGCCCAAATATTTAGCTGGCATCCAACACATCTCCCTGACATCAAACTTCTCCCCCGAATAACAATTTAACCAAATCATAAAGGTTTGTTTCCAAAAACATTTTTTTGCTTCCACTACAATTTTGGTGCCACGAGCCGGGACATGTCCGACAGTATAAGAAAAGGAAGCGAATTATCGAAGTCGAGAACTCTAGAACTTCTTAAAGAAGCAAGTGAACTCGATCTGACCTCCCCGTCTCAAACACTATCACGAGGGGAACTTCAGCATCAATACGAAATTAAATTGCGAATCGTCAAGGAGAAGATCGCACATCTCGAATATTATGCTGGGTTACTCGAAACAGCTAATCAAAATTGGCTGGATAATATTCAGAGCTTGACAATAGCAACGAGGAGAAAGGAAGAGGAGACGAAATACGCCAATATGGTTGACGATCCACAAGGTATTTTAAGTTTAATCACTAGAACAAGAGAAACTATTATTACCCTTAAAATACATACTGATGAATATTGCTCGGTACTACAACATTTAAAACAAGAAGAGGTCAAAGAATCATTTCCAAAGAATAGTATGATTCACACAAATCAAGCAGAAATAAAACTTCCTCAATTACCACTAATAACGTTTAGTGGGGATCCAAAATTGTGGAGGCAATTTTGGTGTAGTTTCAAGGCAGCAGTCCATGAGCAAAGCATCCCAGATATTCAAAAGTTAAACTATCTGATATCATGTCTTAAAGGAGATGCTTTGTTATCTGTAAGAGGTTATGATATAGCGCCAGAAAACTACGATGTTATAATAGGTTTACTAAAAGAGAAATATGGTAAACCTTTCCTTATAAAGAAATCACTCTACAACGAGTTGAATACCATCAAAAAAAATGACCGAGAGTGGAAAGCAACCATAGAAGCCATGGAGAGAACATTTCGACAACTGGAAGCTATAGGTGAAAATTTAGAGCATTCAAGCATCGAAATTACAATTGAAAATAAACTACCAGCGTGGATAATTGATAAATTATACCAATTGAAAGAGGATTCGACGAGTTGGTCAGTTAAGGATATCCGGCAGTACCTGACAAAACTAGTTCTAAGAAATGAAGAAGTTGCTAGAAGTCAAGCAGACACAAGGGAGAAGAAAACAAACAAAAATAATGTTAGAGGCGAAACGTCAGCTTTCGCCACAATCAACCAAACAAAGGGAGATAATACAATCAAATCAAAAAAGGTTCCAGGAAAAATTTCTATAAATGGGAAAAGGAAACCATGCGTATTTTGCAATAAGGACCACTGGAACAATGAATGTAACATCTATCCCACTCTCAAACTCCGGATGGAACGTTTGAGAGAAATCACTGCATGTTTCAAATGTTTACGAAAAGGACATGCAACAAGTGATTGTAAAAAAGGGAAACCTTTGTGTTTCCATTGTAAAAGTCCACACAATACAGCACTGTGTCCCAACAACTACAAGGAACTCACGCAAGCAGTGGATTCCAACAAAGAAAGGTTGGGTTCAGTCACAATCGCTAACTCCATTACCGAAAAAGGAAATCAATGGAAAAAGCGAACCTTACTGTTATGTAAGGAAATAAATGTAACCAATCCAAATCGCCCAAAAATCCAACAAAAGGCTTTAATTCTATTCGATATTGGTTCTCAATTATCGTTCATATCAAAGGATTTGGCTTATCGATTGAATCTACAAGAAACTAACGAGATGGAAATAAAAATTGCTTCATTTGGTGATAAGACGCCAAAAACGTGTATCACTACTAAAACTGAAATCGGAGTAAAAATTGGAAATAAAGAAATAATCCGATTAGATGTAATAACAGTTAACCACTTGACGAATGAATTGCAAGTAGTTAATCTAAACAAAAAGGAATTGTTGATGATAGACAAACGAAATCAGTTTAGTAATTTCAAAAACAAATGGAAACAACCGGACATACTCA